AGAGAAAGAGAGAGAGAGAGTACGAGAGGGGCAGAGGGAGAGGGAATGAGAGAGAGAGAGAGAGAGAGAGAGAGAGAGAGAGAATCCCAAGCAGGCTACATGCTCAGTGCAGAGCCCAACTGAGGGCTCAATCCCACGACCCTGGGATCATGAGCTGAGCCCAAATCAAGAGCCAGATGCTCAACCGACTGAGCTGCCCGGGCGCCCCTCCCTATCCTGTATGTATTCTCTTAGCGTATGGTCTGCAAACAATCTGGAGCCAAGCTCACTAGGCATAAAATCCTAGCTCCCAGCCTCTACCTCTTAGCCGATTTAAAAACCCAACCCAGCATTTCTGACAAAGGGCATTTTTAGCATTCTTTCATAACAGTCTCATTTTATTTGCAGCTTCCTGCAGCTGGCAGCATGCTCTACAGACTTCAGGTATAGGCAGAGCCAGCGAAGGGCAGACTCCCGAGTCGGGCACGGGCGAGGGCTGGGGATGGGGAAGACACAATGGCTCTCTGGAAAATCCAGTTTACTCCCACTTTTCATTCATTTGGAAAATGCCTTCTTGACCGCAAAACAAAATCTACCCTGCACTCAACTCCTCGAACAAAGTGCTCACCGGTTACTGAGGATTTAATAGAAGTTCTCGGAAGAGCCTAGCACATACTAGCAGATAGCAGTGATTTTAGATATACTTCCTGTACAGTATTTAATAAAGGGTTTTCCACATGTGTCATCTCGTACCTCACAGGAACTCATCACGGAGACATTACTCAGCTCCTCGGTTCAGAGGTGCAGCTGCGTCACCTTGGAAAGGTCAGAATTTGAACCCAGGACCTCTGGCATTACATCCTTGCTCATTTATCTACCTAAATTGCCTCTCTCCTCCCACTAAGAAAACACATGAGGTAACTAACTCAGTTAAAATCCAAAAGGTTAGTTTAGCAATTGTAGGTAAGTGAGTGGTCTCACTGGAAACTTTTTCTGTTTCCCCTTAGAGCTTTTAAGCAAAGTGTAAATTGACTATGTGCTTAGGAATTTACCAGCTCAGACAGACTGAAACAATTAGACAGGAGGCCAAGTGAGAGTGAGAGAGGGAGACAGACCCCAGGCACGTGAGCAGTGAGCCGACATTCCTTTCAAAAGCTTCCCTCCATATCCTTTTGCAATTGGCTGAAGCCCTAGAGGTTTGACTGGCTAAACCACTTCCTCTCAGAAGTGTCCGTCAACCCCCGGGGGAGCCTGGGATTTGTAGTCCTGACGTCAGCTGACCTTTCATAATCCTTCAGCTGGACTCCCGGCTGAAGGAGTACAGTGTCAATTTCAGTAGCTTTCTATATGATGAGGTATCCAGTGTGCTTTTTGCAAGACACAAAGCTCGTCCTGGATAAGAGTTGAAGCCTCTGTTTATTCACCAGAGCCCAGTCCCCTGGTCCCCCTCATTCTAGTTCTTTATTACCTCCCTTCTCTCCCCCATTGACACGAAGCACCGTTTCACTGCCTCCTCCCGAGGGCATGCTGGACACAAGCCCAGCATCGCAGCTGATGTAGAGGAACCTCCAGGAGGCAGATCCCCAGCTAGGTGTGGGATCAGGGCTGGATAGCAGAAGAACCATGCCAAAGGGTTGCTGCCCCAAATGGTACCTTCTCAATAGGTTTTAAGGTAATATATTTACATGATGGTTGTTGACTCGATAGGTATTTGAGGAAGTGGACTGTGACACCAAGTCCACAGACCACCTACAGAAAACATTGCATTTTATTTTATTTTTCTTCGCTTTCTATTCCTTCCCCAAACATTGCCTTGGCTTGGCAGCACCTTGGCTTAGGATACACAGATCTTCCTTTCCACCCTGGTGTTCTGGAACCTCCGGATCTCTTTTGGTCTAACCTATGCCCTATCTGAGGGCCCACATTTTAGCATTACCCACGGACTAAATAAACACAGTCAACTGCATGCAGATATTACTGGTGAAATTTTAAAAATGGTCATCTTAGGTGTTATTAAATCTTTAGTGGTCATTGACCACTAAAAATGTAGCAAAACAACAGATGTCGAATTTATATCTTCCTTTGTGTGGGAGTCAACAATACGTTTCGACAGTAGGAAGAAAATGACCTCCTGTTCAAAAGAGTGTTGATTGGCATGCCAAACCTTGGGAAAGAATAATTTCCATTAGAACCACTCACGGGCTTACCACGCTTCTGTATGCCTGGCTTGCACTGTTTATTAGACTGAACGAACTTCATGACATAGTTATAGATAGTTGAGTGGGGAAAATACTGAGCGAGCAGCCAGGATGGCAAAGAGACAATATGTCCTTTGCCACTGGTCAGGTCAGCTGGATGCTCTTGAGAAAGCTAGTAAACCCTAAATCTAGGCATTACAGGGGACTGAATGCCAGCCTTCACACCACACAGATGATTGTGAGGAGAAAACGGTGCCCTGGTCCCGTCAGGGAGGCACCGACTCCCTAAATGTGGGAACATTGTGGGGAGCAAATTCAAGAGGCAAGGTTTGGCCAAAGTTCTGAGACTGTAGAGGTGAGGGACATAGGCCAGTGCTTGAATAGGGCATATAAAGAAAATCTCTTAAAAAGGTGAACTCCTGATGGTCTAAGCATCCCGTTTTCCCCAAAGCAGCAAGAAATACTTGCCTCTATTTTCCCTAATGATTACTTTGCAAAACTGATGGAAAATTGCTTGGCTGAGGTGGAGATTTGCAAAAGAATCCAGCTAAACTGCTCTTTTTTTTTCTTAACTTTTATTATTTATTTTTGAGAGAGAGGAGGAGAGAGAGAGAGAGAGGGAGACAGAGCATGAGCGGGGAGGGGCAGAGAGTGAGGGAGACACAGAATCTGAAGCAGGCTCCAGGCTCCATGCTGTCAGCACAGAGCCCGACTCAGGGCTCGAACTCTCAAACCATGAGATCATGACCTGAGCCGAAGTTGGATGCTTAATCGACTGAGCCACCCAGAAGCCCCAAGTTCGAGTATTCTTACACATACCTGGCCTTTATCATTTCTCTTTTTATGCTTGGATCACTAACACCAAGTTTTTATTTTCTCCTTTCTTAGAAGTCACTAGAAAACCCATACATACATACTCATTCCTCTAATGACTACCTTTCTTGTTGAGTGTTGACAGCAAGAGATATGCAATACAAAGAAAATAGGAAGAAAACATTAGAATTTCAGTTTTAATTTATTTTTATATTGCTATTGAAAAAAATCCTGTTTTGTCTTTGTTTTGTAATATAAATAATAATAATGTGACGGTATGTACGATTCATAAATCAATGTTCATATATTGAGAATATTTGCTTAACATTTTTTTTTGTACTGGTAGAGTGCAATTAAAAAAAAATTGGAAAGAAAACTTGGAGACCAATGTTCTGGGACACATCTCCTTTCATTTAGGTAGACACGTTGTCTAGAAGGTACTCAGTGTTAGCCAGGGAAGATTACATAGATACCGATGAGTCTCATTTCCCATACCGTCAAGGATTTTCCAGGCCTCATTTGTTTTCATTCTAAAATAGAAGAAATGAAAACTAGCTGTCTAACACTGAAGCAATTTGAAGCAAGTTTCTTCCTTGAAAAGAAAAAAGACCCTAACAATATGCTTGGGTCATAAGACCCTGTCATGGGACCGGAGGAAGCTGGGCCATCTTATTTGTTAGACTATCAGGAGGATGGCCACTTGGGTTTGAGGCGCTCAGTAGAGGCAACAGACTGAAGTTAGCTTCGTTCTGGTTCTTGGACACAGATCATCCGTGGCCATGGCTTTCATCTTCTAAATCCCTTTTAGGCTGGAGAAAGATTTAAATGACATTTAAAAAATTTTCCGCAAATGTCATCAATAATGTGAAGGTTAATTTAGCTATCGACTTGACTGGGGCCACTGGGTGCCCAGGTTAAACATTATTTCTGAGTTTCTATGTGCAAGTGTTTCTGGCTGAGATTAGGCTTTCTATCTGTGGACTCAGTGAAGTAGATGGCCTTGCCCAATGCTGGAGGACTTCATCCCATCCATTGAGGGTGTGAATAGAGCAAAAGGCACAGGAAGGAGGAATTCACTCCTTTGTGTCCTGCCTGCCTGCCTGCCTGAGGTGGGACGTTTTCCCTGCCCATGGACTGGGATTTATACCATCGCCTTCCCTGGTTCTTAGGCCTTCAGACTCAGATTAGAGCACATGGCTGGCTTCCCTGCGTCTCCAGCTTGCACAGCAGGTCATCGGACCCGTTGGCCTTCATAATTTTGTGAGCCAGATCCTCATAGTAAATCTCCACAAATACCGTATATCGTATCAGCCCTGTGCCTCTGAAGAACCCTAATACAAACAACAATAAAAAAACCACATCGATTTTGTGCTTCCCGCTGCACATGTGAAAAAGTCTTTCGGGTGCAAGAGGTCCACAGAAAAGTTACCCTGGGCAAACCCTTTGACCTAATGAGGGGTAAATAAGAAACCAGTGTCCTTAGTTCTGAGAGAAGGCACAATTTATTTAGTCAAATTATTTTACAACATAGTCTTCATTGACAGTTGTCAGCTTAACACTTAATATAGTCTTAAAAAAGTCAATGATTACTTGCAAAATTATATATATTTTAATATCTAAAAAATATATTGCATATATAAGGCAGGAACATCCCTTGTATCCACAAGGGAAAGTTTGTTTGTTGTTTTCGAAGTTGTGATTATTGCATTATGGCTATTTACACACATCGCCAAAGCATTAAAGATTTAAATGGATTGCTTTAACCTGCTTGTGCGCACGTGTTAAAGACGACACAGTGCTTCTCTTCCTAGTAAAGTCAGTGACTTAAACGTCCTGGTTGCTTTTTAGCAATAGTCACATTATGCTTTTTTCAAACCAGCTATAAAAACGTACAAACAGCCCAAATGTACAGATTGACAAAAGATGTACAAATTACATTTAAAAAAATAACAACGACCGATTTGATAGTAAAATTGTATTTGTGACCGAGGTCAACTCGTTTATTTATTCTTTTTACTTTTTTAATTATTTATTTTTAATACTGTGAGATATAGGAAAATAACTCTGCATAATTTATACAGTAAGTTGCCTTCTGATTGGTTGACCCTGGACTGGTGGTCTGACAAACGCACAGCGCTTGCGAATCTGTTTGTGTCTAGAAATCCCTAAGACTTTTCAAAGTTCTGGGACCCACTGTCATTACTTTAAAAAACTATTTAATTCTCTGTCTTTCAGGAATGTCTGCATTTGCATTAACATTTCTTAGATCATATGTTGAGTATTTCTAGAGAGGATGGTCGGCCTAGTGCATGTCGACCACTGGGAGAAATTTTGCAATGCCCATGGCTTCTTAAATACGACACACATGTTCTTTCTTTTAAATTCCAGTTGGGTGAAAACTTCACTGGCCTTCACAACCAATGTTCCAGTTGCCATCCACTGAATTAGGTCCTGCTAAAATACGATTATAAGCTTCCTGCCTCTAGTTTCACTTAGTCTCAAACCAGAGCGTAACTGGTTAAGTCCATGATTCTTTATCATACTGAACCCTACAAGGTCCATGATGAGACCCGTGTATTGATAAGAAACTGCTTTGGTCATAAAAATACAAAGAGAAGGTACAGTTTCTTTCCTAGAACCATGATACAACCATTCCAGTAATCTAAATATTCAACTCAGAAGATGGTAGGAGATTGAGAATCCAAACTGGTGTACTGGCCCAGAAAACGATCCATCTTTGTGTTCAAGGTAGAGGAAGCAAAAGTTACCAACATTTAAAAAAAAAAAAAAAAAAAGGATTGTCTTTTTAAAGAACAAAGGTTCTATCCAACAAGAAAGAACATCCAGTTTTGTTTTCTCTTCAAGGCCACGTATGTCCTTTGGAGTCCAAAGTATCGCAGGAGGTGTGAGGAATGGGGGCTTCGGGCAGAAGGCCACCGATGATTAAGCTTCTAGTAGTAGCTGCCTAAGTGTGAGGGCACGTGGGTGTTAGGATGGCGGGGGACATTGGGGTTGGGGTAAATGCCACCCGTGGGGGAGGTCCAGTATTGGGATGCTGCTCCAAAGAAGCTGGAGGAAGTGACAGGCATGGAGGACGGGTGGGGAGGGACAAAGTTCACCTTCTGTTGATGGGCGTGGTAGGAAGGCATATAGGAGATATCAGAAGGGTACTTGTACATGGACGACTCGGTCGGATGCGGCTGCAGAGCCTGGGCGATGCCGTGGAAGTCAAATTTGTAGGCATACCTTTTGCCATGCACTTTGGTCATAATGTTTTTATCATAGTAGTATCTGAGGGCCCGGCTCAGCTTGTCATAATTCATGTTGGGCTTGCTTTTCCGCTCCCCCCAGCGCCTGGCCACCTCATCGGGGTCCGTCATTTTGAATTCCCCGTTGGTCCCCTCCCAGGTGATACAGCTGGCGTTGGCACTGTCGGAGAGTAGCTCGAGGAGGAATTGCCACAGCTGGATCTGCCCGCTTCCTGCAGGCAGTGAGGCAGACGGGAGAAAACAGAGGATCTCAGCCTGGGAAAGCCAGAAGCTCAAGTCCCTAAATGCAAGGATCCTCTCGCCCTTCATAAGAAACTCTTAATTTCCTTTTACATGCAGAATCTACTGATTCCGGCAGCCCCTGTTTTCATTGTTGACTTGCTTTTCTGTTTGTCACTGAGGCTGCCTTCATAAGCAAGATTAGACCTTAAGATAGTGTGCCCCAAGGCACACTGGGAAAACTCCCTGTGGGTAATGAGGTGCTGGCTTCCTTAGAACTAGCTGTATGATTTGGGGCAAGCCACAAAAAAATCTGGGGCAAGATTTTTGAATCTCTTCTTCTCATCTCTGTCTACTGGATGAAGTCCCCCCAAGTATTCCTGTCAGTGTGAAAGGGAGTCGGGGCCGGGAGACGGCTGCCAGAGTCACAGGCAGAAGGTGAGGCCCAGGCGTCAGGCTGAAGGGACCTGGAATGTTCCTCAGCAGAGCCCTAGTGCTTGGCTCCCAGGTCCAAGTCTTACAGAGAAGAGCTGGGGCAGAGAGAAAACTAAGGCGAGAGGGAGCTGGGTGGCTCCTGCCTCCTATCCCAAAACAGGAAGGGCCAGGCACTAAAGAATGGGCCTGCAGAAACTGGTGACAGGAGTCCCCCGGGATGGGAAGGTGCGGGCTTTATTACTGTAAAGTTGCCAGTTAGCTCACATACTTGGTGATCTTGGTTTGGAACTCATTTGAGAGCTATTCTTAATAACGAACTCTTAAAATACATTGTCAGAGTCATTTTATCTACAACTTTTCGGGGACACACCTCTTTCATCAGGCTGGATAACTGCAACACTTTCTGAAGTCAAGAATAATACGCCTTTGGAACATCTATTTACTTGTGACTTCCGGGAGGACCATAACTGAGAACTCACTGGAATTGCTCGTCTTTCTTCCCCACCCTGCCTTCTTTCCCTACAAAAATTTCTACCTGTGCCATTTATTACTAATCTCAACCTCCATGCATATATGCATGCTAATATACTTGTTTTTCCGAACTAGCCTCAGCTAACGGACATAACTAATAACAACCTAATAACAACACCCAACCTCTCACTTGTACCCTCGAGAAGCAGATGTTGACCATTTCAAAGGAAGGAGTGCAAGTAACTTCCTACTCAGGTGTCTGAACGTAGGACAGAGGTCTCTGTGTGACCTCACAAAGCTATGGAACTTTCTGGAAAGAAAAACCTTCCAGGCCAAAGTAAACTCACCGGGGTTGGCTAGGCGACTGCTGGTCGGGCCCAGGATCTGATATGGATCTGAGGAAGCAAAAAAGGAAATTAGCTTCACTGTTATTAAAAATATAAAAACAACAGCATTAATAATAAGAATACCCCCGGGGTTTATACTTTTATTTCAGTATCATAGAGAAAACTGATTTCAGAAAACTTTACTACTTTTATATGCAGGCCTCAAAGGTCTGGGGCATAGTTATAGTTTTCATCCCCATAATTACAGAAACATAGGATACCTGCAGTATCTTTTTTTTTTTTATTTTCATATTTGGTGTCTAACATTTGTCATTACTGGCAACAGAATCATGAAACCATATGGAAAGAAGCTGGCTAATACTCAGTCCTAATGAATAAGGTAAAGGATGGCTCGTTAAATGGGTTTAAAGAAAGGTCTAATGATTCTTAGTCTTTTAAGAGCTCTCTACACACGTCTGTTTTTGTGATGTAGCATTAAAAACACGTGCCTGGAAATCAGGCAGCCCGGATTCTAGCCCCAGCTATGTTGCCGACTAACTGATTCACTGGACAGTCTCCGGGTATTGGTTTTCTCATGTGCAAAATGAAAGCGTTGTGCTACTTGACTCCTTCGTTCCCTTCTAGTACCAGATTTGACAAGACTGGCCAGAGTTTGTATTTGAGCTATAAAATGATTATTCTTTATATCTCAGTGTATGTAAAACTTACATGATTATTTAATTCTAAAAAGAACCTTTGTGATTCTGGTTATGTGAGGTTGGTCTTCCTTTTTTTCAAGGGAGAAAATGGTATAGAGCTGGATCATAACTTGGCCAAGCTGTCAAATGTTTGGTACAATTTTGCTATTTTTGCAAATTGTAATTGCAATTTTAAGAAAATCAACATGATCTTTAGGTTTCTGCTTACAATCATGAATTAACTTGAAGAGTCTTCAAAGCTACCTCGTCTACCCTCTTGCATCCACATATATGTGTCGTAGGTACACAGTATGACAACCAAAATATTTTTGGCAGGTAATGTCTAATTTTTTTATTGTTGAGAATTCTTTCAATCCACTGTGTCAAATCCTGTTTGGTTTGTATTTCAGAGTCAGCAGTCTCTTTCTTAACCTTCCTGATGAAATGTAGGTTAATTCTCTATTGCTCTGCCTTTGGTAGAGATAGGAAACAATATTTATCTGTCCCGAAGCAAGTGACTTGTTCAGAACTTACTCTCAGCTGTGTCACACAGAGAAGACACAGAGGTTTGGGAGTGGACACAACAGCTGTCTTCAGATATAGGAAGGCCCTTCCTACAGAACAGGGGGAAGGCTTTCCAGAGAGCAAACTAGAAAGCTTGATGGCAGTTAGAAGGAGGGCGACTTTGGCTCAAATAGTGGAAAGGAGCCTACCGAAACAGTGAACTCGTTACTTATATAAATATTCAAGTAGAGGTGAGGTAATCAAAAGACAAATGTAATAGAAGGATGTTATAGACCTAGTTTCATTCCAAGAGTCTCCCAAGTCCTTGGTTTTAGAAGTTCCCCTGCCTAATTTGTTAAGCTGACCCATTACGAGATGGGGTCATTTCAGAAGACAAGTTGTGTGAAATCTCAAAGGTTTGCACAGCAGCTTGGGAGTCTGAGGCTACAGCTCTAGTTGTCTCATAAACCAGCTGGGTGGTTTTTGGCAAATTACTTGACCTCTCTGGGCCTCAGTTTCTTTATTTTACAACATGAGGCGTTGGATCTTTTAATCTTTACATTTGTTCTATCTCCCATAGTCAATGAGTGTTTACCTGTTCTAGGGCCTGCTACTTGTAATTCACAGAGCGATTACAGGGAGTCAAATACAGACCCTCTCGGAAAGAGAAAACCGAAGACACACACTGTCTATTGTCTCAGCCCTCCTCAGTTGACCACACAGAACCAATGGTTAGATAAGGAGCAAAGGAGAGATTACCGATCACGGACAGGTACCTGGTTGGGGCCTTTGTTCAGTATTCTTACTCATTGCTTGTGCTCCTGCAAGTGGGGGGCCTGCGGCAGGGAGAGAAATACGGTAAGTGGGGTCACTCTCTGTGAGGGAAGAGGAACGTCTTGTTAAATGCCCTCCACAAGGAACATGAATGTGCTTTGTCATTCATTTGTTCATCCCCTCACTCTTTACTCACTCATTCATTTTAGTTTATAAATATTTATCTGGAATCTACTGGTGCTGGCAGTATTCTTGGGGCTAGAGATTCAGCAATGAACCAGCAGTTCTGGTAGAACTTACCAGAACTTACCATTTTAACGGAGAGACAATGATAAACAACAATAAACATACAGCACAGCATGTCTAATGGTGTTGCCACTGTGAACTGCATTTTTAAAGAGAAAACTTAGAGGTCCTTAATGGGACAGTGGCGTATGCGCGAGCGTCACCGGCGGGTCGTGCTTCCATGTTTCGTGAGCTCCCCTCACGGAACCTCTCACATACAGCCTTTCCACTGCCGCCTTAGCTTCTCCATCTGAGCTGCTTCTTGCACAGCTTCTGGCTTACTCTGTCTCTTTCCTCACTACTCCCCTTATTCCCACTGGTCCATCATACGATATTTAGCTGGCTCAATCTTCCGAAACCATTTCACTCCACCACTGAGATGCCTTGGTGAGTCTTCACCGACTAAAGAATGAAGGTCTACCGTCATACTACCCTTTGTGCCCCTTCCTTACCTTTCCAGAACGCTTCCCTTTGTGCATCCTAAACTCCAGGAACCTGGAGTCCTCACTGACTCCCAGACACGTCACCCTTGCCATCTTTCCCTGGCCCCCATCTCTCCAAGGAGGGTCTGTCTTCCCCATCTCTGCAGGTCCAAATCCTGCCCCTCTTTTGAGAGCCAACTCAAGTGGTTCCAGGCCCACAGTCCTTCCCTGATATCACCCAGATGGAAAGAACTGTGTGTGTGTGTAACCCCTCTCCCCAGCCGGACAGATTGGCCTGGGTCTGGTTCATCTTTGTGGACCCGAGAGTGCCAAGTCTTGGGCCGAGAATAAACAAACAATGAATTGTTTGAAAGGACAATTGCATTGAAAGGAATCCTGGCTATTGCTTGGGCATCAGTTGGTCATCCTAACCCCTTCCTGAAAGAAGTCTCTTCACCACTGATTCATATGCTTGACCCTTCGCTTCCTACAGGTAGCAAGGTGGACCCCTTCTGGTTAGGAGTTTATAGTCATTTTTTATCCCTACTCCCTTAATGGGAGATTTTTTGGGTCAGACTTGAGCACAGATTGATGCGTCAGAGCCCTGCCATCTCCTCCTAAGACTACCCTCCACCTCAGCCACTCATGACACCAGGACAGGGATGTTGGTACGGTTAAGTTCCAACACTCAGAGGAGGAAAGTCACGAAGGGCCATTATGACGTAAGTGACTGGGTCCAAATCCAGGGACCTTGCATTCATACAGAACCCAGTCCTGAGAAGGCTTCGCACTTCAAAAATTCTGAAACCAAATGCAATGCAACAAAACAGAAGGGTCTGAATGAAAATCCCATACCGTCTTTCAAGGAGCAGATATCACCAGCAGGCCTTAAATCGGCAGTTCATTTGGATGTCCTCCCCCAAAGCAAGACAACAAATGTTCACCCCATCCTGCTCTATCTCATGGTCCTGTTCTCCACCCCCCTGTTTGTAGAAAAAATGTTTTCCTCCAAATAGTAGCGTGACATTTACTTACTTTTGTTGAGGCCAGAATTCATGTTATTGCCCCATCCTCCTCTCCTGACTGAGTCGTAAGAAGGGTCTGATGAAAAACAACAGGGAGAGGTATGTCAGCATCTCCTGCTTTGCAGAAAGGTGACACGAGGACTCTCTTTTAGCGATCGGGAGAAATTCAATTTAATCAGCAATGCCTTCGTCAGCCTGACTAAGTTCCGGAAGTGTACTCCTCCTCGGGGTATGGGTGGGAAGGAACATGAATACTGACTGAAAGCTGAAGGAACAGGAAAAATCCTGAATGCGAAGTCAGAGGATTTGTTCCAGCTCTGTCCCTGCCGCCACTTGTTGTGGGACCTTGAATGAATCATTAGGCTTCCCCAAGCTTCAACCTTCTCTAACATGGACAGACAGGAACATGTACACGATTTATCTACCTTAAGGAATTGGGGTAATGTTGGGAACTGCAGGTCTGTGTTCCCCCTCCCCCACCGGCCCCCATATTCACGTGTGGATATCTCATCTCCTATGTGATGTGGTGACACTAGGAGGTGCAGGTTTGGGGGGTAATTGGGTCATGAGGCTGGAGTGCTCAGGAGTGGGGTCAGCGCCCTTATAAGAAGAGGCCGTAGAGCTGGCTTGTTTTCTTCTGGCTACGTGAGGATGAGAGAAGTCAACGGTCTCAAATCCAGAAGAAAACTCTCACCAGAACCCCGCCCTGCTGGCACCTTAATCTTGGACTTGAGCCTCTAGACACATGGTAAATAAATACCTATGATTTATAAGCCGCTCAGTCTACGGGACTTTGTTGCAGTGGCCTGAACGGAGGCAGGTGATAATCAAACGAGATAACGTATGTGAGGTAGCTTATAAATCTTTGTACACATATAAATTAATACAAGTTTAGAAAGAAAAAACTTGTCTACAGTTGTATAACAAGGTCCTTTAAGCAGCTCTGAAGAGATGGGCCATGGCCAATGCCCTCCACAAGGGCCCATGGTGTTCCTAAAGGCTGATTCTAGCTCCTGACATCAGCACGCTGATGCCAGTGGCGATGGCTCAGGGGTGTCAGCACATTACAGACTCTCCATGCTTTTCCAACAGTAGTGGAGAAGCCTGGGCCCGATGACCACAGAGAAGGGGAGGAGGCCAGAGGTGTGGCTGAAAAGGGGGCAGGACCAAGAAATGAGGACATGGAGAAATGCTTCCCGCCTGGAAGGGCCTAAAGCCTTGCTCCCAGGTTGCCCTGGGGAGCATTCCATTGAGCCGGAACCTTTTGTGGTTCTCACCACTTTCCCCAAAGAGTCCACAGGCCTCCATAACCATGTTCAGACCTTGCATAACTAACTGGCTGGAAGCTTCTTCTCTTCCTTTCTCAATTAGGGGATCCCCATTGCGATATTGAACAGGAACAGCAGAAGACCTTAAGGATTCAGAATTATGACTTTCAAAGTCTTTCCATGAACAACAACAAAAAACCCCGTAAAAGCCACCTGAACAAATGAAGCAAAACTTCATCAAACAACAGCCTGGCAGGGGTGAGACCCAAACCATCCTCCTCCACCCCTTCGGAGCCTCTTGAACAAATTAAAATAAGAACCGAGAAGATGGATGGCTCAGTCGACTGCTTGTTCTCATCGGTCGTGGCTAAGAAGAACCAAAAGACAAGGACCGGTTTCTTGTGGCAAAACCCACACGTGGATGCACATTCTGCCTGGCTCTGGCAGAGCCAGCCCAGTTTTTAAATTCCCATCTGTAGCAGCTGGTATGAAAAGCAAAATAGAAAGTGAGAAAGATGGGGATGGGGATAAAGGACAGAGAAGGGGACAAAAGAGAGACAAAGCTCAACCTGCTGAAGTCGTCTGTTTTTATTTTTATTTGGCAGCCCCCCCACCCCCGCCACCCCACAATTCCTCCTGACAACGGATTCTTCCTCTTGCCTAAAAACAAAACAAAGCAAAACCAAACCAAAATCCCAACTTGTTTACAAGCCTGGAATGAGGTGGGGGCGCTCATGAGCGTTTTCTGGGATGTCTTGCAGGTGCCCACAGAGCGTGTGCAGTGCCGGGAAGCAGAAGGAAAGGAGAGATTCTTCAAGATTTCTCTTTGGGGGTGGGGGCGGGGGTGGGGGGCAGAGACCAAATGCTGGTCAGGCCTCCAACAACTTACAGCTGACTCTGGAACAACACTTGGACTGCACAGGTCCACTTATACATGGATCGTTTCTGGTATCGTACTATACACGTATTCCCTCTTTCTTGTGGTTTCCTTAATATTTTCTTTTCTCTAGCTTACTTTATTGTAAGAATACAGCATATAATAGACATAACGTACAAACCATGTGTTAAGTGACTGTTTCATGCGAATGGTAAGGCTTCTGGTCAACAGTAGACTATTCGCAGTTAAGCTTTTGAACAGTCGGAAGTTAGACACTGGTTTCGGACAGTGCGGAGCCCTCGTGTTGTTCAAGGGACAGTCGTAACTGGGAGTCTGTCCTGCATTGTATTCCGTGCGTGGCCAGAGCCTGGATGTGAAGTAATATGGAACAAGTTCCCCATCCCTGCATATTGAAATAGGAGGAGACGAGTAAGATTGTGGGGAAATACAGGCCACGTGTCAAAGGAGTGGTGGCGATATTAGGGTCCACTGGCGGTTAAGGAGGGAGAGGTGAGTGTAACTGGGGCCGTCTGACTTGAGTGAGACCTCTCTGGGGAGAAGAGGGAGCCGTCACCATGTTCAAGGCCGTGGTGACAACAGCCAGCCAAGTGAGATTGTGGGTGTGTGGCACCACCATGAAAAAGGGTGTGGTGGAGAATGGAGCTTGTGGGGAGGTGTGGGATGGATGGGAGCACCTGGGGAAGGAGACGATTCTCATAGGAACAGAACAGAAAGTGGGATTGAAAGTGACAAGTTCACGCAAAAAGAAAAAAAAAAATCAATAAGTTCCAGGAACTGGTGTGTGTCATCCACAGTTCTGACTCGACTTATGATTTACTGCACTGATAAGATCTCTGTCTCAAAGTTTACTTATTGTTTTCTTCGTCAATCATTATTCTACTGAAGGCTTCCACCCTATCTGAAAGCTATGTTATATCCATTCTGAAGACCTGATTATGGCCACAGCTATAATTACCATCGACTTATCAACTTTGCCTCCTGTTCTTTTACGGCACCTCCAGGAACACAGCAAGCACACAAAGGTTACAGAATGCATGGGTGAGTTCCCGCTAACCACCCGAGGGTGGGTGATGGCTGGATTCTTCTCTAACTCCAAGTGCCCAATCCCGGTGTGAAGCCGATGCTTTATCAAAAAAGTGTCTGGTAACCCCATCTTTCCTGCAATGCCTCAGGGGCTGTGGAGGGCTGCTGTGGGGTGCAATTCTCCCACTGCCCCACCGCAGGGGGAAAGCCTGGCTGCAAAGACTTTCGAAGACCTAACCAACCCCGGAAAGGAAGTGACAGAAACAGAGAGGCTGCCAGCAATCAGCCTGTGCATTTAACACAGCAATAAATAGCAAGAGGCATCAGCCACCAGCTGGTGTCTTTAGCCAATGGTCTCAACTGTCCCAGAGCAGAGTGTGAAATCAGGGCAACGCGGACCACGAGGCCCCTCCCTTTTGCTTTTTTATTCCTATCTCCTGGCCTGGAAAGTCCTCCCACTGGCACCTGCGTCCACAAAGGACCCCCTGGGCCCGTTTACTGAGGAGTTTCACAAATGTACTCTTTGGGCACGGGGGTTCGTGGGGACAGCTGCTACATGTAACATTTAAATGAAAACCAGTGTTTTTGGAGTAAGTCCTATTGTAAAGACAAAGCATGATGCTGGAGAAGACCCAGGCCCTGAACCAAGGTCCGGCACTCTGCCTTAGAGTGCTGAAGAACCAGGTGGCCTTGTGGATTAAATGAGATATCCAGGTAAACGCTTAGCACAGTGAGAGCTTGGAGACAGCCTCGGTACATGTTGGCAAGTAATATCATTATCGGCATCATTAGCATACGCCTAAAAAACGTTTAGCCCCAGAGACATGTTCTCTAGCCCTACCCGATACCCATTAACTTCTCCCCTCCCCCACCCCCTTACTCGGTTCTTATTTTTTCCACTTATCGCCTAATTTAATCACTCACTCATATTTGTGGTTTCTGGTCTGCATCTCCTACCCGAACGTCAGGCCCACAGGGGTGGCAATCTTTCTTCTGTTCCCTGATGTAACTGAGCACCTAGACCAGCGTCCCGCACAGAGCAAGCGCACAGTAATTCTCTGAATGAATGAATAAATAAGGCCAATATTTTGTCCTTGCCAAAGATACGCGCTTCCTCTTACTGTTTGCTATTTCACTAGCTGAAGAGAATTCAAGGCCCCTACGCTGACTTTCCTTAGGTGGTTCGAGTCTGGGTGACAAAGCGTATAGGCACCTGAGCCCTGTGTGCCCTCGGGGCATAAAGGACAACAGTGCACGTACTACAAGGCATAGGCCGAAACCTTGTCCCCACAGGGAAGTCAAGGAGCGGACACCATACATCTACATGCCTGCATTTTATTTTACGTAGTTTTAAACAATGTTGAAATGAGGGTTTGTGTGTTTTGTTTTTTGTTTTTTTTTTTCTCCTCAAAGTCACACAAGGGAAAACCTAGCAGTGTGGTCAGCTCTAGCTCCAGACATACAAACAGAAATATGTCTGTAACCGAAATGGAAAAGCCTGGACCGGGGAGTTAACCCAGAGACTCACATTTCTATACAAACACCAACCCTTCCTGGGCCCGATGCCTGGCTGTGTCAGAGCCCCTGACCCCTGCGGCCAGCCAGCTCAGGGAAAATTCTCTCGTGGGGTGTTCTGGGTCCACATAGCAGCTTGAGTGGGCACCAAGCCCCGCCTCCACCCCACAGCCCCCAAATGTGTGTGCTGTCTGCGTTCTGAGAACTGTCTTCTTTTTTTCTTTTTTTTTTCTTAACGTATTTTCTATTATTTATTTTTGAGAGAGAGAGAACCAGTCGGGGAGGGGTAGGGAGAGACAGGGACAGAGGGCCCGAAGCGGGCTCTTTGCTGACAGCAGACAGCCCAACGTGGGGCTTGAACTCACCAACCAT